ATAAGCGGAAACAGTTTTAAAAATGTACAGAAAACTTAGAGACAGAGACAGAATTACAGAATGGATGTTGTTTCTCTCACACGACAGATGGTGCACAATCAATACCTGGGCGGTAGGTTGCGAAGCACAAAGTGCTATCACAAGTCCCAGAGCTGGATCACGAAAGGATTTTACTGCTTCCAACTATATTTGCTAGCTGGCCAGCATTTTAAATCACTAATGTTGCTGATGGTAAGCTGATGGTCCTTAATTGCGTTTCTAATTGCACTTACAGGAAATTCGTAAGAACTTAAAAAGTGGCTATTAGAAATATGTAATAGCAACAATTCACTGCTTAAAATAATTTCAGTGTAAGTCACTCAACAACTGTAATACACTTTTGGTCACTGCCCAATCATTAAATCTAACTCTTGAAATTTTTATCAATACTTGTTATGCCACTGGGTTAACTTTTATTTTTTTTGAATGGCACTAGCTTTCCCCTTCGAAGTTTAACTTAGTGCTGAAACTTTGTTCACAGAAGGAAGAAAGCATCTTTAACTTCTCCATGGTATACATTAGCTATATCGGGGCTAGTAATTCTCCTACAAGGCTGATGCACTGCTGACTGTAACTGCAGAAGCTGAAATCACACAACTTAATTGTAAAGGTGGACTAAGAGGATATACAACATCTGGTTCAGTAAGTCAAAACCTTGGGTGAAATAACTATTAGCAGAAATCTCAGCATAGCACCAATTACAGACCAGACTTGCAAGTTCTGTATCGTACATGTGAGATTGAGAAAAATTTCATGCACACCTTGATCAAATCCTGACATAACTGGGAAGTTCTCTTATATAAAACTGCAATGTTGTTAAGACTACTTTTCAGCCTCAAAATTGTCCAAGCTTCCCTGCACAGCAAAACTCAGTCAGAAAATGCTCTTTCTTCTCCTTTAATTTTCAAATGTATCCCAAATGCCAAATCTCCATTTCCTTAATTACATAAAGTACCTTTCAGTTATTTTCAAATTCTGGCTACTGAGGTACAAGACAATCGTCCAAAATTTTTATATTTGCATCAACAGTAAATTTCTAAAATCAGCAAATCAGCTTCAAAGACTAGTGTAACTTCATTAGAAACAAATTCAGATATCCAGTGTTCCCGTTACTGTAATGTCCAGAAAACCAAATCATGATGAGGACTTTAACGAACCAACGTCTTGCAGGCAATCTAGCTAAATACGGGATACAACAAGTTAGCAAAGAGACAGGAAGTAATAATAAGAAAAACAATTATTTACATTAAATGCTTCAAAATTGACCTCAAGTGCTTGGAGTTGTTCATATATTCCATGACATTATCTAAACGCGACACTGAATACACTTTACCTGAGCGCAGAGAGTGTGCTGTAAGATACTTGCTGTACTTACGGGAAATGGCGGCGGAGGCTTACACATGACATCAGGTAGAGCTGCACCTTTAGCAAAGCCAATAGCCTCAATGTTGAAGGTAAATGCAGCACGTCCTCTTCCTCTACCTGACCCAGCCATTTGGAGTTACTGAAAATATTACAGATATTTAAAGATTCGTTTTCGTTACAGGTATCGAATACATGTATGTATTACCTATAAAATTAATGTCTAACAAAGATCACAGCGATTTTCAAACCACTTTCAAAGATCATTTTAAATAGCAAGCCATTTTTAAAGCCCATCTTAGGTTCTTCCACATACTATAAATTTGGTACATGCCTAAAATCAACTCCACTCCCTCGTTTCTGCTAGCCACCTCTGCATGCCTGAAATTACCTCCTAACCTAAGAATTTTAAACTTCCTTCTTCTAAACCTTAGATACACTGACTTGAGTTCCATCAGGGTAGAAGAACCAGAAAACAAGAAAAGATTAAAAAAAAAAAAGAATTTCAAGGACTCTGAACTTTCTGTGAATACATTTTGCAGTTTCTGAACTTTTCTCCAACAAACAGTTTGTGTTTGTCACTCACAGCTTCCTCGTCCTTCAGATTTTTTTTTTTCCTTTATCTTTGTAACTAGTTTTGGGTACTGATAAAGAGCCAAAAGCAAAGAGGTTCAAGGTAAAAGCATCAAAGGACTTTTCTTCACAACAGCTCTCTCTGCTCCACTCCAGCGTATCTGCAAGCTAACTGCTGATAAAAAGTGGTAGTTTCTAACTAAAAATGTTTCACCAAGAATATAAAAGGAAAATAGCCTGCAGAACTACATTTACAGTCACATCTCACCACCTCCACCGTTAAGCCAGTCTCCACCTCAGGACTGTATGACCCATGGGTTAGCAAGTAAAGCAAAATGTGAGAAACACTTTTTTTGCAGGGGAAGATGTCAAGAAATGGGACCCAAGTGAAGCCTGGCTGAAGCAACGTGCTGCTGCACACTCCCCAAGACCATGTAAAGATCAATTCAAGGCCCCAGCCCAGAAATCCCACGTGCTGTTTACCATTAATTGCAAGATTGGTTACCCTATTGCACCCTGCTTGGTAAGAACGTGCCTGTTCCAGACTTACTGTTGTACCTGTACCATCACAACTATTCCCACCATTAGTGTGCGGGTGAGGTAACAAGTTCGAACAGGAAATAAGAAACACTACAGTAACAACAGCTTCTCATACACTTGTCTAAAGTATCAAGGAATCCAGGAGAGAATTATGATTAGGAGCAAAGAAATGCATACTTAAGATTAAGATCTTTTAAGATTCCCCCAAATGAAGCAATGGCCTATTTATTAAATGCCAGTGAAAACCAGGTTGATGCAAGTACTTTCCTACTTATTATTTTCAACAGGAATAAGCTCTGCTTGGATGAAACAAAATCACATTATATATTTCCACATCACTCAGCAGCACAGAAAACTGTCTAAAAATAAGCAGAAAGACCTACATAAATCATTTTAAGAAAGACAACAAAGCAAAATCTAAGCCTGAACGTTTAATTAACTGGTAATAAAAAAGAAAAAAAAAAGAAATAGCAAACTTATTTGAAAACAGGATGAAAACCAAGATATGAACCTAGCAGAATGGAGAAAGACAGAAGATACAGTAAAGCCCCAAACATGAGCAATTATATTATCTAGGTGTGAAAAAGGGGAACCAACAACAGAAGAACACCAAAAAAAAAAGTTAAAGGAGATGTCCAGCTAGCAAGGAGAGGCACACTGTTTGCATTAAATATAGTGAATATAAAGGTCCGTTTTTAAAATGCTGCTTTAAAATTGTCAGTAAGATTTTCTTGAAGTAGCGCATTAGTCTGATGAGAAGTAAAAAGCTTTAAAACTAGTGGTATTTCAACTCAACAGTTTTACTGAAACTCGTGATTTTTTCAACCATACCATAAACTGACAGTGACAGATGACCGGAGAAATCGTGAAGGAAAAGTTGGGATGTACAACTGAGTCACTGAGCATGACAAAGCTACCACGACAACTAGTGTTTTGCTGCCATAAGGGATGCCTAATGGAGCACCCGGACGCATTTTTGCGTTTACAGGTAGCTTGCGTGTCATTTACTCTACAAACGAGAGGGCGAATTTCCGATTTAAGCTTTTAAAATTCCTTCAAAACTACGTACGCTGTTGCTCGGGCAGTCAGTCAGGGGAAGGCTGCGGAGGCCTTCGGGAGGGAAAGGCCTGTGGAACCCGGGTCCCCGCCGGCTGGGAGGCGGCTGGTGCGACGGCGGCGGGCGTGAGGGGACTCGGCACTCGGACGAGCTCTCGTTATCCAACGTTTTCCTCAGAACAAAACTCTGGATTGCGTTCGGATCCTTAATTTTCAGAGGCGGGTGCAATCGGTGGAAGGGAAGAGCAGATAAAAGAGAAAGGACTGAAATTTAAACACTGAGATATTGGTTTGTTGTTTTTTTTTTTTTTCCCCCGATGAGCCTGCCACAGGTAAGTCACTCGACCCTTCTTACCCATCTCTAAAATATACTTTCTCTCCAA